GAATTTGGTCATTCAGAATGCTTACTAAGTTTTATGTTGGACTTTGATTGTGAGCAACCCACAACCCAAAAGACCTCCTCCAAAAAGCCAAGCTATTTAAATTTCAAGCAAATTATTTCTTTCATGGATCTGAGAGAGTTTAATGCAGGAGCAACATTCACTATCACTTCAATATATGTGACATACATGGGAAGATGTGATATACAAGGAGGAAATTTCTCTAATCAATACTATACCGTATTACAGGCAAGGCACAAAGAGAATACTGCTAATCACTGGGAATAGCTACGTGCCACTATTTTTGCTGATAAAATAATCCAAACGTCAAAGAACACTGAAAGAACATTGTCACTTCTTGTCCCAGTAGAACAACTTGTCCCACAGGACAACTTGAAACTACTTCTTTAGGGTTTCTTCCAATAGCCAGTCCTTTACCTGAAATTTCAGAGTTGCTAACCATTATGTTGCTACTGACTAAAGAGTTATTTTTGGCCTTTCAATGGAGAAATTCAGAAACTTCCATTCATCTTAAAACCCTGAATTTACACACTGTATGTTATATAAAAAAGGTGATGATATGATGAAATAACATTAATTATTTAATACATATTTGCAGAGAGGAAGTGATAATTCTTTACTTCTTTAATCTCTTTCTTTGTACTCTGGAATTGGTGTCTCCCCTAATTATTTAATCTAACCCCCAAAACAATGGTTCTTGATTTTTTGTTCTTGTTTTAATATTTGAAGAGTGATAGAGTCTCTTTTATGAAACACACACGTACACCCCTACACTATGCCAAGGCAAAGTCAGAGTTAACAGACCCCCTAAATTCCATCCACAGACTTGCATTTCAACAATCCCAAATATTGCCAGCTTTTATTTTGAAGTAAAATGGATATATTTTAGACATGTACTTTTAAAAGATCAATATTTTCTTTATTCTGGTGATGCAAGACAAATAACGGTTTTAGAACAAACAGTGTCATTACAACCACAGCATTGTAATTTTCAGGAATCCACTTTTTAATTTACTCGCCCTGCAGGATCAATTTGCCTTAGGGGTTAAATTCGAAACTATAAACAGTCATTAAAACACAAAACAACCATGGTAGTTAACCGGATATTAAGGGGAAAAAAACACATCTGTTTTAGAGTTCTGTTCCATCCGCAAGTTTGGGAACATCAATTTCAAGAACCTAGTTTTATGGCATGCCCTTGAGCCAAGAACACCAGGTTACAATCATGGAAAGGAAGGTAAGACAGCCCACAAGCGGACTCTCACTAGAATATCCTGCTCCCAAGATTCTCTTTCTTTAATTCAAAAGCGGTCAGTAAAATTGGATTTGCTATTATCTCAAAAGAGAAATAGCCATTACTGTTTGCACATTAATAATTGTACTATTCTGATAACTGGGTAGGTTTATGAAAAGAGGGAGACAGGAAACAAATTTCCATACTCTGAGTCTGGTGGTACTCTAAATAACAAACACTGAGTTTCGGTGTCTTCTCAATATATACAGAATTTGAAGCTTGCAGAGAATCTGATTTTTCTAATTTAAGCCCTTTTTAAAACTCTAACACGTCTGAGAGTGTACATCTTAAATAACCAATTTGTAATAACTTAATCAGCCAGAAAATAAGTACAACTTTTCCAACTTTTCAAAAACACATATCTCTGGGCATCAGTGAAAACTCTTCTCTCAATGGTAAGCTTAATGAAGTGCAACTAAAAATAACAGTCATCAACTGTGGTTGTAAAGGCAATATTTCAACATAATCAAATGTGTCAAATATTCATCCTTACAGCTTCTTATGCTGTGGGTTATAAGTAAGTTTCATTTCTTGGGAATGATTGAACATAACCCACTTGGGGCTCTGCCATCTGTGAATTACTTACATGTGAATACTCTGTTTAAGAGATGGAAATTTTGATTGTTTTTTTTTTTTCCCTTGGATATTAGACTGAAATGCAATTGAACATGGCTTTTTAAGCAATTATTTTTCATATTAGTTGCTACATGGCTATATTATTGCACACTCCCCACATTCATCACCACTTATCAAATCACAGGAATAAAGAATAGTACAGCTGAAGTTGTGGAGGAAACATCACGTAGAATCAAGGAGTACTATAAAATCTTCTCTAGGTAGAGAAAACTATGACATCTCCAAGGCCATACTTTCTGGGCCCAGGTCCTTGCCACACAGAACCTCCTCTGCAGTGTGCTGATACAACAGTTGTGGCTATTATGTTCCCATGGTTTCCTTGAGAGGCTGCTTCTCTTAGCACTGAGCAAACAATAAAAGTGACAATAGGGCTACACGTAGGGTAACATATAATTTATCATCCATACATGGACACCTCTGAGAGTTAGTGGAGACACTAGTAATAGTTATGTCAGAACAATAGGCACAAACCAGGACTACCCAGTTTAAAAAAATGGGGAAATAACTTTAATATTTTATTCAACCCAATATACTGGACATATCTTTTCCATATATAGTCAATATAACAATTATTTATGAGACCCTTTACATTATTTTTTCATGCTTCAGTCTTTGAAATCCAGTGTGAAAATCCCACTTAAAACATATTTCCATTTGGATCAGACACATGTCAAGCCATGTGTGGCTAGTGGCCACCACACTGGCCAGTATAGTTCTAAACAGTCCACAAATTTGGATATACAGGGATATGTGACTAAAGTTGTAATACACACACATACACACAAATGTATGTTTTTCCCAGGTAAAAATAGATACACCTAACTGTCTTCACTAACACTTGCACAACAGGGCAGTTAAACTATCTTTCTTTCACTGGGTGAACCATACATTGGAGCAGATAAACATTTATCTGGTAGACTCTTTTGGGGGAACAGAGAGAATGGCTGAGTTACATTATTATTAATTAATCAGTAAGCTAGTTAATTGCTAAGAACTTCAAGGACTTTCCCCAGACTTATATGTGTCTTGCATTCCTAATCCCTAAACACACACGCTGAGCACCTTCCATGTACTTGACACTAGATAAAGAAAGATAAATAAGGCACAACGTCTATACTTTAAAATGTTAAGCCTGAAAGGATTCATGGAGATTATTTTACAACTGAAGCAAAAGAAGCCTAAGACATGCCACTATTCCATGTAAAAGGCAGGGACTAGACTGCTCTTTACGTCTCAGGCCTGCATTCCATCATCCACAGAGAATAGTATAAGGAAAGGAACAAATATGTGCTTTCCTTTTTACTATTGATACATGGAGACTCAGCTCATGTTTGATAACACGCATAAGGTTAAGGTACAAGGGGTTTGGGTGCCAGCATTTCTTCCTGAATTATGACATACATCTTTGCTAGATGTATGTTCCTACACCCCATCTTGGAACTCACTGATGTTATATTTTGGCTATAGAATCGATGAGAAAGACAGTAGCCGTCATTTTTCCCAGGAAAAGCAATATTCATGCCATTTTGGTTGCTTTAAGCATAGAGTGATAGAAATAGAAACAGGAAAATAAACATTGGTAGATTTTCTGCATGCAAATAGTAGTAACACATTAATCAGTTACTCTCATTTCAGGGTATACAGACAAAAAAAAATAAGCACTAAATTGTAGTTTTTCTCTTTTATGTAATTCTTCTCTCATTTAATAGTTCTCTTCCCCCAATCCAAAATAATTAGGCTTAGTATGGTCTCAATCAGTGTGTGTTTTTAAAAAAACACACATACATCATACCACATACTGATTTTGCTTGTACTAACATTAAAGAACACACACACCTGATTTTTATTAATGTTCCATTAAATGTATTTCCTTAAAAGAATAGACTTTTAAATAGGATAGTGAGAAAACATTACATCTAAAATACATACAAGACACTTGCTTCCTTGCTTAAGAAAATAAATAAGCCAAAATATTGCCACAAATCTATTAGTAAAAACCCAGAGATGTTGTATAGTGACTCCTATGTCATACACATTGGCACTGTTTCTTGAGAAGACCAACCTGGGAGAATCTGTTTAACTAATTTGGCATCCTTATACACACATAAAATGATGTTTTGTTTTTTTCTTAAGGCACTATGGACAGTAGAGACTTAAAACAAGAAAGCGCCTTGCTTTTAGGAGACTTTTAAATATGGTTATGTTATTAAAGATCACATATTGCAATGATATGTAGCCATTAACCAAAATCTAACTCTCAGGCTATTTGAAAGGATTATCCACAATTACAGCTCTTCAAAGCAACTGGGGATTTAACAGAATGATCCCACAGCCCTATATGGAAGGAGGTTATCATCTCTTCGGGAAATTATTCTCCACTTAATCTACCAGTTATAAGTACAGCAGTTATAAGTGTATCTGGTTTTAAGTACTTTGGGTATCTAATTTTATTTTTCATCAATCTGAATGCTGATTTATAGAAATCCAATCCAGGTACAACATACCCTTAATATTGGGAGCTTGGACCCATTCACCATGGTATGACTTTGCAAAGCATTGTGCTAACACATTAAAAATACATAAGCTATATCCTTGGGTACTATGAAGGAGGAAGATGAAGCAAATGCAATAGCACAGTGTACTGGTTAAAAGCATGGACTTTGGAGCCAGACCATCTGGGTGAAATTCCAGGCTCTGGCACTTATTAGCTATGTGACCTGAAACAAATTACTGAACCTCCCTGTGCCTCAATTTCATTATTGGTAAAATGGAGACAAAAACTTGTGCTTACCTTGATGTGGAAGTCTGGACGACTTTATGAAAAGCATTTAAGGCCATGCTTGGCACATAATCAGTGCTATATAAATAGTAACTATCACTATAACTATATATGAGTAATAGGTTATAGTACCTATCACTGTAATTAATACTATATCTCCTATGGAAAGATCTCTATCTAATTATCAATTTAGTTAAGACTGCAAAGTTCCAGTTAGTCTATGGGTAAGGCACTTTGATCTTTCATTAGAAATGCAAACAGCAGGATACCTACTGGAACAACAGGTTTGAGACTCTGGCCACCAGGGTGTGACCCGCTTGGCTGAGCATCAGCAGGTGGGCCTGGCACTGGGTCACTGCTTCTCCTCACCAGCAGTGGAGTACCTGGAGGACAAAGGGCAAGGAGAGAGGTCAAAAGAACCCTGGTGGGAAGAGAGTGCATGGCACAATGCACTTTAATTAAAAAGGTTTACAACATGCTTTTATGTAAAAACATTCTATTTCTAAGGATGCTTGTAAATTAATCCATTTAATGATCTTTTGTCATCTATTTATAGAATGACACATAGAAACAAAATCTTATAGCTCTCATCTTTCCCCACTTGCATTTCAAAATAAGCCATTGTATTTATCAAAAACTGTTATGTAATGCAAAAGTTGACAGTGTACAATCTAAAAACTGATATAGAAAACATATGTGAGTATTAAAAAGAATGATTATCCAGCAGATAAATGAAGGGGTTCACACAGTGTAATTTGCTATTCAGTAGACCCAGAAGTGTAGTTATCACTGCCATTTGGTGCTTCCCGAATCTTTGAACGATGGTACACACACACACACACACACACACACACACACACACACACACAGACACTGAAATATGTTATTTGCTGGGGTTATAGCATTAATGTCTATTTAAGTACACAAAGAAATTGGCTCTGTTCTCTCCCTTTTCTCCTGAAGCAGACAGAACTGATAAAGTAAGTTAGTTCTTTTAAAAATATATCCTGACTTCTTTTTAATTTAATGAAAGCTTCCACTATTAAATATTTGAGTCAGTTATTAAATTCTGAAAAAAGATCATACTATTAGAAAGTTCAAATAAAATTCAACCTTAGCAAAGCTAGTAGTCTAACTACCCTGATTGTAATTAGGCCTAAAATAATTTGTTTCATATAAAATTGGCCACTACAGTGAAAAATCTCAAAAAAAAATCTGCTTGTGGTTTAAAAATCACTCTCATATAAAAATTAACTTTTTATTTATTATGTACTTTTGAGAAAAGAGTGGAAAACAGTTGAAATGCAATTTCCCATATATCAATATGAAAATAATTCCCCACCCTCTTAAGCTATTGCAGTTCAAGGAACATTTTTTATCTATTTTGTAAGTTGTTTACAAAACCTGATTTTTATATGTGCTTCAACATTCTCATTCTATACAAAGCATAGAATTGCTAATATTTTTCATCCTTGCCCAGGCAGAAGTTGCTTTTTTAAAAAAAATAACTTCTTTCATAGTAAGAAATTAACATGCTTAGGATACAGACCTATGCCAAAAGGCATTATAAAGTCCAAGATCACATTCCTTTATTTCTTTTTTAGTAGACATCACTACATTTATTCCCCACACTCTCCATTGCAAAAATTTCTTAAGTAACAGACATACCAATAATTGTATGGTTGGAAATTGTTCTCTAAATGAAACATTTAAAAAAAAAAAAACATGAAGAGTAGAAGCATTAAAAAAAAAAAAAAGTACCATGAAATATTAAGAAAAAACATTTTATTTCTTCCCTCGGGTGATCTGAAGACTAAGCTCCTTTTAGATTTAACCTCTCAATTATCAGTAACATGAAATGAACAAGTCAGTATAAATGCAATACCCTCAGAAGCAACCGATTCTTTTTAAAATTAAGAAGAAAATGGGGCAAAATCCATGGAACAAACTTGGTTTCCAAGCATTTAACCAGACTAGTACACTACAATCAATCTTGAATTGGAGAAAACAAACAAAAAGGAAAAACATTATGGTTCACCAAGGTATTTTTCTCATTGCCAAAAAAACAAAGTTGATTTAGAGGCACAGAAATGAAAATTTTAGTGACTGACAAATTTATTTTTCAGCTGAGTCATATACGGATATATGAATATACAGAAAGTATGTGACATGATTTTTCTTAGGTAATAAATTTTTCTTAAAGAAGCCACAGTAGATAATTTTCCTTCAACCTTAACAACACACGCCTATGACTCCTCACTTATTGTCAATATGCTGTTTTAATAACAGAATACTAAATTATTTAAGATACAACTTTATAATAACGTGTATTCAAGTTTGTATATTCAATCAATATGCCAGAGTATTATAGTGTGTTCCCATATGACGATGATAGTTTTGTACCAGTGTATCAGCTATTTGAACATTAAAAACAAACTTTAAGATGGCTAGATCTTTCTTAAACAGACTCTCAGCTCATTGGGAGTAAGTTTTCTTCTTCTCTACATTTCTGCACTCCACACTTGAATGTCTCCTGGTGAGTCACCTTCTAATTTTTCTTTGGCTGTCTTAATGTGTTAATAACAAGTGCAAATCAGTCCATATTGAAATTAATAATGAGCATCTTTAAATATGAACTGTTATCTTCAAGAGTTTTAAACAACTCTTCTTAGAATTTTTAAATTGCCAAACTCCATTTGAGGGTGACTGTCAGAAAGAGACTGAGTTCTGATTTAAACACAAAGAAAAATATGTCCTAGTGTACAACACAAGGAATAAGAAGTACGGAAGATGATATGGGCAAATCGTGGCATATATAGTACAGCAGAAGTCACAATTTGCAAGCAAAGCTAACCGAAATGAGAGGGACACAATTCCTTCTAGTTTTATGGAACCTCCTGTTGGAGGTGGGGGAGGAGTCAATGAAACAACCTCTTCAGTAAAGGAGCTAATAACCTAACAGTAGAGACAGAAACTAACACCTCTGTCATGTGTCAGCACAGTGGAGAGGACTAGTTTATTTTCAAGTCAAATAAACTGAGCTTCACCTTTGTTGGTCCTGTAACATTGGACTTGGACTATTCTGTGACTCAGTCTGCAACATTTAAAACTTGTTGATAATCGCATGTAACACAACTGATGGGAGGCAGAAATAAATTAAGGCATGCATGGAACATGGCACTGTTGGGTATGCAATGTTCATGCAGGAAATCCATCCTCACCAGGAAAGGGAAGGTAATACTATTTGTTATTTGTTGTGAACACTGTTATCTGCTCAAAAAGCTGAACTCCTGGAAGTTAATTTTCATAATAATATGTAAATAAAGTCTAATTCTGTACCAAACCAGATATAACCTTACAACAGAAGTCAAAATGAAACAACAACAAAAAAATGGACCCAATGGTAAGTTTTCATACAGATACATACCTTATAGGTTCTGATTTATTACTGATTAACCTAACTATGCTGTATTTCTAAATGAATCATCAATGAGAAGAGTGCTTTATTGTGGAGTTACTTTAAACTGTCCTGTAAAAGAAAAAACTATGAACATAAGCTAATCCAGTTAGTTGCCAAGCTGAAATTCATCATTTAATTTACCTCCTATGCAATGATTAATGCTGGAAAATGTCTGGTTATGTTATAGTATATTCATAAAAGAAATATTATTACAAGGTTTGAGAGGTAGCCAATTGCATTCTTTTGGAAATTTACTGTACCATTTCGATGTGTTAAGTGCCTTGTTGTAAAGTAAAATTTTCAGTCTAGAATTCATTGTTTTTCTGATATATTATTTTTCATTATGACATCTACTGTATGCTATTGTAATAGTTTTATCAAATGCTTATATTTTAATCAAATATGTAAATTTCAGAAGCTCTTTTCTCCTACTAGACAGTACCTTAATCATTGGTCTATCATACTGAATTTAATTCATTTTTTTTAATAAAGAGGAAATTATTTCTGTTTGGAAATATATTTTCTAAGCTTGTGCTTTTCTGTTTGTAAAAACATCTCAGAATTTAGGAATGTGACTATAGTTTATACTTCTAAAATGTTGTCTTACATTTACATTTTTAAGTGCCTAATTATTATTTAAAACTAATGCATGTTTCTATTCCAAAGAGAATACGTATTCTTGCTTTCTAATCTCTTTCATTTTGCTTTAAAAACATGCACTAGCCTATACTTTGTATTTTCCCAATAAACCACAGTGACATTAAAAAAAAAGATGGGGTAGGAAGAAAGTCCAAAAATGGGGGAAAATTGCTATTCATTAGTAATTTTAAGCTAATCTGAGAGTCGTATTAGATTTTAGAGGCAAAAGCACTCAGTTCAGCTCAAGGAACAACAGTATTCCTTGAAATCATGGTTTAAAAGGCACTGGAGGCAAAGCCCAAATAACATACGAATGTTACATACTTTAAAGCAAAAACTCTCATGTAACTGCATGTTTTTCCACACAGTTAAATATTTGCAGTGCTACCACACACCAAGACATACACAGGGGGCAGATGATGACACTAAGAAGAACAGTCATGATGTTCATCTTACTCTCAGCTTATCTTTTAGAAAAGGACATGTGGGTACAAGGAACATTTCAGGACAAGGAGAGGTAGGTACCAGTATAGTGTTCCAGGTGAGTTATGCAGGGATCATAGGAGAACTCATACCAATGAATGCACACATGGTAAGCTGGACAAAGTTCTCATTTAGCCAGACAGGCTGCAACTTAAAGGAAGTTAACAGAAACAGATACTTGGGGCAGGGGCAGAAGAGTCCCCGATTGGGTGTGCAGCTGCTGGTGACCACATCCTACAGGGTCTTGCCATATCACGAAAAGCTGGATTCTTACTAAAACACTTCCCATCTATACTCAGGACTTAAGTCACACTCAGAAAAAACTTATACAACACTCACTGTACATTCCTTTAAGAAGATGGCTAGATGCATCAGCTTCTCCCAGGCTTTGAGCCAATTAGCACTGGTCAAGCTACATCCTCATGGGAGGAGAAAGTGGCATCAGTTCCCAGGTGTCTATGAACGATGGTGAATCTTCTAATTCTCAAGTCATCACCATTTTGATTACGGTGACACTGGTGCTCAAAGGGGTACAATTATACTTACCCAATGTTCCTTTTAAATGTCACTAAAGCAGCCCAAAGGAGGGGGTTACCTAATTCAGTTTGAGGAAAAGAATTTTGAAAGAGGCAAAAACTAGATGAAGACTAAAATTGGTACACGAACGAATCGTGCAAGATATAATGGCCGACACCAATGAGAAGTGTTATCTATAAAGTTTCTGTCTGTTAAAAATCACTCTCTCTCTCTCTCTCTCTCTCTCTCAGTGGATTTTCTCTACATTTGGGGAATATGTTGGGA